TTGCAAGTTCGATTGCTTTGATATTATACATATAAATACCTCAGATGGACCAACTTCAGATTTGTGATGAAATGTGCATTGCTAACTGGGAGCTATCTCAGCCAAGAGCCTGCTTATTGTGTAAAATCATGGAGCTATTTTCCAATGCCACCATGACATAGCATGCTTTTGTGTGTTACAGTGACGTATTTTGAGAACCTTGTTATAATTTTTTAGCTCCGCTGTCGATTTTGTCGAGCCGAGCTTATCATATGAGTGATTGTCCGTCGTCGTCCGTCGTCTTCCCTCGTCCGTCGTCCGTGTCAATGTTTTACTTTTTCGACTTCTTCTTGAAAACTACAAGCTTGAATGCTTTGATACTTGGTGTATATGTACCTTGGGTAGACCTCTCCCAGATTTGTTCATTTCATGATGATATCTTCAATTCTCTAATTTTGGTGAATATTTTTGTCATTTTTGGTAAAAAGTGATATTTTTAACTTCTTGTTAAAAACCGCAAGTGCAATTGCTTTGATATTACATATATAGGTACTACATGTGGACCTCTCTCAGATTTGTTCATTTTGTAATGATATCTTTAATTCTCTAATTTTGGTGAATATTTTTGTCATTTTTGGTAAAAAGTGATATTTTCGACTTCTTGTTGAAAAACGCAAGTCCAATTGCTTTGATATTACATATATAGGTACTACATGTGGACCTCTCTCAGATTGTTCATTTCATAATGATATCTTCAATTCTCTAATTTTGATGAATATTTTTGTAATTTTTGGTAAAAGTGATATTTTCAACTTCTTGTTAAAAACCGCAAGTCCAATTACTTTGATATTACATATATAGGTACTACATGTGGACCTCTTTCAGATTTGTTTATTTTGTAATGATATCTTTAATTCTCTAATTTTGGTGAATATTTTTGTAATTTTTGGTAAAAAGTGATATTTTCGACTTCTTGTTGAAAACCGCAAGTCCAGATGCTTTGATATATTATACATATATGTACTACATGTAGACCTCTCTCATATTTGTTCATTTTCCAATGATATCTTCCGTTCTTTAATTGCCATGTGCATTGCTAACAGCGGAGCTATCTCAGCCGACAGGCTGCTTGTTTTCTAATTTTTATAACAATTTAATATTCAGATTTTTGAAATAATTCATGAAAACAATAAGTACCCTATTATTCACAATATATAATTTGTTCAGCTTATATTACCAGACTACAGATTTGAGATATGGCATAATATTTCTGACTTAGAAACCTATGGTGAAACCATAATACAGTCAGAATGGCAACTATCCACTAAAATACAACCATCTGTCTTTTCTCGGAAATTAGGCTGGTGACCCGACTATTTTTAAAGTCAATAAATATCAATATATTGCCCGGAAGAACAGATTATTGCAAAATAAAAAATATATAAATGCGAAACTGATTTCAGTTCATTCTCAAAAACATGGCTGAAGATTTGAATCACTTTCTAATAGTAATATGACTTTAACAAAATGCTTTAGTATTAATTCTTCCTGGGAGCCTGTTATTTGGTAAGCTTCTCCTAAATAATGCTAATTCTACATTCTAAACGATAAAAGTAGTTTTTATAATCCAAAGATTTTTATCACTTCGAATAGTAAATCATTGTATGTCAGCCTGAGCGAATTACTTAAAAACAAACTTAAGTTCCTCCTTTGCAACCTTTAGCAGTAAATACTTGCAGTCGTTATACGCTCATTGTGGTACCCACAATTTACCACATATTTTTAACTAGCTATTAAAGCATAATACATTCCATACAATCTTTCAATGCAAGTGTAATCTTTTACGCTCGTTGAAAACAAGTTTATAGTCACAGTATTATGATTAGAAATGAAAATATCGCATACATGGTTAGATACTAAATCTTTTAAGAGGAGAGTGACAAATCAGTATACTCGGTAGATTAATTGAAACGTCTTATGAGATACAGAGAAACATGCCCGTCACGTTTACATCACGGATGCATGGTTTTACGGTATTCTATTTATACCATTTTAACGATTGTTGGATTGTTGCCAACTATAACTTGTGCCAGAGGTCACGTTAGGAATTCTCAATACCCGTGTTATGTTATAAATTTTGAAAACTATTAAACACCGATTTAATCTACTCTTTATACACTCGTGTGATGGTGTCGGTTTATCACGTGGTGTTTGACGTACGACGCGTCACGCCATGTTGAACATGGCGCAGTCTCTCAGTCACGTGCCTGGACAACTGATCCCTGATAGGCCATTGTGGTACTGCCAATCACAGATACTAGTAAGTAATAACAAAACATGTTTTATGTAATAAGAATATCAGAGTTAGAGTAGATTTAAATATAATGTCAATTTCACTGCGTCTCTCTGCCAGTGACTCTGGGTGAACCAACCTATGAAAAATAGGAAAACAACTCACACAAACTAGATTTATTGCAGGGCAGTCGCACACAAATATTAATCATGCGATGAATTGAAGCGAAGAATACACTAAACGCATGATAGATTTAATTTTGTATGACCCCCGGACACGTAAGTATATTAGATATGCAAATTGGGTATTCATAGTCAACAACCAGCACACGTTGTGAAGCTGTTTTTATTTAGAACACATTAGGTCGATAGCCGGCTTCATTCTCTAGACAGTACGCCCGGCCATCTTTTTTTCGCTATTATTGGCAGCCTCAGGGAATTGCACAATTCGTGTGAAACGGTAAAACTGTTTTCATCATTGCAACTGGTTTGTATCGGGTGAGCAACCTTCAAGAAAAAAACGTCCAATTAGGGGCAATAGTATCCCTTGTCATATCGCAATCTATGATCACTAAACGCGTTTAACGACTAAATTGATGGGTTACAAATGGCTAGTGGAATGTCTCCCTGAGAAGCCCGGAGAAAACAAATTGGAAATATCATTACCTTTTTTAAAAGACGTCGGGTAACTCGTTTACGTATGTTATGGTAGACCATGGTTGTACGCATGAAAAAGGATTTATAACAAAACGAGTGAAAAGGTGAAATTGAAAACCATATTTTTAAGATTAGATACCATGTATGAGACACGTGATATAACACAGAGAATACACTAAATATTATATAATAAAATCGTATATTGTTGTGACGATGTTGTCATAGCAACTGTGATGCGTACGTGTGACGTACATGCAATGACCGGCGGCATTTGACGCCACCCGCGATTTGAAATTTTACGACCGTGGCTACGTCACCCAATTACGAGAACGAATACTGTTTCCATATTAGGACATGGCATGTATCATATGTGCACCTGCTGGCGATGAATTCATTTCTTTTTGACGGGACGTTACAATCTGAGAACTTGAATGAAGTGGACGTACGAATACATAAAGTGGCGACTCGTGTACGGCTATACGCATGGCTACTGGCCCAATTTAGAAAAAAATAAAACAATAAATTAGTATCCATCTAGATCTTCTATCATTTCGTGGAATTTAACTTCTCTGAATACGTCATGCTCGACGTGTATTATTATTTTTTATATGATATGATATTATCTATAATCGGTTAATTATTAAAAGACACATATTATTTTTATTATACGTAACTAGTACGCACACCTGTGTGAACCCGTCATGAGTGACGTCGTGTCTATATCAGTCTGTTTAAAAAATAACATCGTTGTTGAATTTGTACATATACGCATAACTTGTCGTGTCTTGTTATATAGATTTCTTAGACTCATTCGTCGGGGCGTTGAAAGCACCGGGCAGTTTGTTTGCCGACAACTCAACAATCCCAGACGCCAAGGAATTACAAGTGTTTGATTGTCGTTTTATTTGGTATATGAGTGGTCATTATGTCGCGTGACACCCAGTAATGTCGCCGTCTTCTTTGGTAAAATGCAAAGGTGAGACAGCCTGCTACCGTGTCCCAAGTGTATACGACTTGAAATGTTTATCATTTCTGAGGTGCAGTCGAGTGCACCAACTTACTTCCTTGTACGACAAGGAATGTTTATTTCATTTATGATTCAGAAGTTCCTCTTTGTGGCTACTAGATTCTGACTTTTTGTTTTAATTTCAAAATCACAGACTATACCGATATCTAAACAAGCTGTATAGTGACTCGGTGTGCTTCTGGGTAAAAAGGGAATTAATGACATACAACGGAGATATATTCATATTTTGACCCAACCCAAATCGCTTCGTACCCAAGCCGCATCTACGGAAAATGGAGCGCTTGTCAATATTTTAAATAAAAATGTTTACAACTAATTGATATTTGTAAACACTATTTTATATTGTGTCAATAACTATGGTAACGAGAAGAGAAAACATGACGTAATATTATCATTCCGGTTGATACTAGTGTCAAATTCTCCTGAATGTTACCTGAATAGTAGATGATTCCTAGACTCGGATACGTACTTAATTACCGATATCACATGGTATCCGGTCATTTGCCGAGAAACCCACTTCTGAACCAAACCGGCATGAAATGAACAAACAGCTTATTATTAAAAAGAGCCTTTCCTTAGAACATCGTGATGCTGAACAAATTAAATATTTAGAGTAAATCGACACAAATATGACGTCATCTCTCTCAGTATATCTAAATAGTATATTTACTTAAAATTATGCTTTGGTAGACTAAACATCCACACCTGATCCGTATTACCTAGTTTACGTGGAACATGTACACAGTTCGCATGTGATTGTTTTGGAATTGTGATTTAAAAGTTATTTTTAGAAACCAGTGTACATAAGGATTATAAAATTGAGCCCAACTCAACCTAAGACAGTTTGATACTCCGAATTGATATAC